TACCGGTGATCGAACTCAGGTCCTTGTGCTTGTGCAGCAGGCGGCGAAACCACTGAGCTAAATCCCTGGCCCCTATTCATATTTTTAATGGAGCGCCAAGTGATAGACAAAAAAGATAAGTCCTTTCACTCTCCACAAGCTAAGCACAACTTAGACTTGGGGTAGTTAAAAAAGAAAAGAAAAACAGGTAACACTGTCATCAGTTCCTGACCCCAGAAAGTTTCTAATCCCTATGGAACATAATTTATAGAGAATCAACAGGTGGAGGTACCAAAGTTATGGCATGCTCAACATGTTGTCTTGGGATACTTCTGCTTGAGTTAGACCTAAGTCCCAGCTTATTACTGTTGTTAATGCAACTTCAAGCAAATCATTTAACCATACTTTTAAGCACTGGCAAATGGGATTTCAAGTATAACTGAAATTGGAGATTCCTGAGAAAAGTAAGCTAATGCATGTAATGTTGTACCTATATCACAAAGCCTAATAAATAATGAGTTCTGGGTAAGCAGTAGCTATTATTAAGATAAATTATCTGGAACTACATATGTGAAGGAATATAGGTATGATTCACTCCTACATTTAAAATTATACTCCTAAAACGAGGCAGGTTAAGTTATAGCCTATGGTTTGGATCCAACCTGAACCTTAATTCTGCCCAGTATTTCTAAAAATTCAGTCTCAGTAATGCCCATGGCTACTGAGGTTTGTCCTCTGAAAATAAAATAGTAAAGACTACTATTCTGGGGAAACTAGGGTCAACGTTTTGGTTAAGAACCTTCCAGTCATCCTTTTATATGCTAGAGGTCTATTTAGTTACACATAAGTAACATATAAAGTGTTATATAAATAGGCTTATACTGCATATACTATTTTACAAACTGCTTTACCAGCAAATACTGCCTAAAATTTTAATACCAGTTATTTCCTCCAAACTCTTTTAGTCCTGTTTTCTCATTAATCTAACCTTATTTTAACACAAATCCTTCTTGCTGCTTGTAACATAAATCATTCTTGTAATTCTTCTTGCTTCTCTAAAATAATCCTGGAGTTGCTATTATTGTGTGGAAGCACCTGCTCTCTCTAGGGGAAAACCTGCCTTTGGACACCTGCAAACTGGGTTGACGCTATTGGATTAAGAGGTGGTAAGTATTAGTCATGTGAAATTGTGAACATGTAGTCATACACTTAATAACTCATTACATAACACTTATTTCCTTCAGATATTATATTCAGCTTGTATTTCTTGATAATAACCCCTTACCCTCAGACCGACAGGTACATACACACCTAGTCAGTGTGCATGAGTGTTGACTGAATGTTTATTGAGCATCATGATACAACTAACATTATACAAAATGAAGTGGACACAGTCTTGCACAAATAGCATATGTTTCAGTTAATTGTGAGAGATTAACAAGTTCTGTTAGCATTTTTTATAGATTTCTGAAAAATATTTTTAATTACTGTATTAAAAGTTTTTTTAAAATACATGTTTTTCAGAAGGACAAACTAAAAACCTATGTATTAAATCAGTGATACTTGTGAAAATTCAATTAGTTCACCTCCTATTTCCTATTTTCAAGTCTTTGAAGTTTATTCACCAGTTCACAGAATGTTGGACTCAGTTTTGGTTGTTTTGTTTGGCAGTGGGGAATTGAACCCAGGGCCTTTTTGAGACAGGGTCTTGTTGAGTCATTAAGTTGTCCAGGCTGGGCTCAAACTTTTGATCCTTTTGCCTCAGTCCCCCGATTCCAGGCATGTGCCACCATGCCCAGCTTAGACTCAAATTTTTAAATTTTGCAACTTCCTGGGTTACCAGGAGGTAGAATAATTATGAAAAACAGAGTGCTGCGATTCTTTTTATAAAAAACTACGTTGGATATTGACTAATTCATGTTTACAGAGTAAGGCCCATTTACTGCCCATTAAAGGAAATACTGAATGTCTGTCTCAACTTCCCAGTCAAATGGAATGAAATTACATTGCTGTCACTAATAGCAAATGCAATGATACATCAATTTTCTTAGTAGTTAGAAGGAAAATTTTGCTACACAGAAAAATACACAATTATGTTGATGAAAGTAAAAAACTGAATAATGTGGAGTATTTACTTTTACATTAGTCACACAGGGTTACTAGTTTAAATGCCTGTAGAGAATTGTGATTTGAAATTCTATGGAGGTGGTTTAACTGCTTATCCCAATCCGCAAATGTTGAAGAGAAATGATTCTCAGCAAATTCTAGAAGACTGTTTACTTCACTTAAAGAAGTAACCTGTGAATAGGAAGAATCAATTGTGATGGCAAAAACAGTCTGCTAAATGTAAAAATACTGAGAAAGGCTAGCTTATGACTCAGAGAACCAGCCTAGAGTCTTTAGCCTTCGGAGGGAATTCAGACAGCTGCATTGGTCAACCATGCTGGACAGCATGTCTTCATATCTCAGCATGTTCCGTAGGGCAGATGTGTGCTCACCAGCCCACACAAGGGTCTGGACAATCCCGAAGGTAAGCTTCATAGTGATTTTTTGTAACATCCATCAAGGCTGTAAATACAGTCAGCTGAAAGAAAAGTTACTTTTATTTCAAGGATGTTTTACATTCGAAAATGTTCAGACACATATTAGATATCTGTCCCTGAAAAATCTGCTGTATGAAATTATTATTAAACATTAGCATTAAAATTATATAATATAAAAAAAAATTATATAATATAGAGGGCCGGGGATTCAGCTCAGTGGGTTCGCCGCCTGCTGCGCAAGCGCAAGGACCCGAGTTCAATCCCCAGTACCAAAAAAAAAAAATTATATAATATAGAATTATAAAATATATAATATAGTATAGTAAAATTATATAACAGTAATATAGTATATGATATAGTAATTATATAATATATTGTATAATACAGTATAGTACAGCATTAAACAAAGCAATCAACATCAATAGAACCATTATTCCAGGTTGTGAGCATTAATAGGCTTGGAAAAATCTCTAGTTGTTTATAAGGACTTATTACTGAGCAATACATTGCTTCACCACCAATGGTTTAAGATTCACTTAACCCTCCTCAATGTATACAAAGCAGTCACAAAAAGTCTATCGATATGCTAGGGCCATGGTGCCATAAGCAGGGCATGCAGAGCCCTCTCAATGACATCACGAGTTGTATGACTTTTTTCTACACTAAAACCTTAGTATTCAGGTTTAATTGCAGTGTTGGTACTCTGTGATAAATAAGTGGGTTTTAGGTTACAGTTTGGGCACTCAGTCATTAAAAAGTTCGCCATCACTGCTCTAGGGAGTATGAACAATCTCTTTGTTATCCTTATTCTCGAAGCATTTCAAATACAGAGAAGAAACTACAGACACACAAATTACAAAGCACACATACAAAGTGACTGGGGGGGGGTGTCACACAGAGCATGTAAATCACCCCACTGTGAGCTCTCATGAAGCTGGTGTGGGCAAAATGAGCAGTATGGCAGGGTCAGTGGGCTGAAGGAAAGCATCTTCGTGAAGGAGACAGGTTTGATCTAAATAGTTACGGACAAGAGGCACTTTGTTGTTGTTGGTTTTTTGGCAGAGGCAATGGAGGCATGTCCAATTTAGGAAGACAGAGGCACAAGGACCAAGAAAAAGAAGAGATGGAACAAATGGGATAGCACAGGAACATACCCAGAACACACATGGAATGGCTACTACCAAACAGGGTGACTAGGAAACATTTTGCATTTCTCATTTATAGTATGGAGAAAAGATTTTTCTTTTGTATGTAATAAAGCTCAGGGGAAACTAATCTACCAAGACAAAGCTCTGTCTTTGTGCAGTACAGTTTGCAGTTTAGCCTTAAACTGGATATAACTTTTATGCTTAAACTGATCCAAGACAACAAGGGAAGATAAAACACAGGACCAAATTCTTTCCCGAAAAGCCTATCTGTAATATGTATTTTTTAAATACCTTGTTGAGGACAGGTTTTGTTGATAGAATATCATACAAGGTTGCAAATGAGAGATTCTAAAACACAAAAAGAGTTCTGTTCAGTAAGTTAAATACAAACATAAGTAACATTTATCCACACAAATGGCTCATTAGAAACCGAAACATTCTTCAATTTCCCTTGGAGTCACTGCTAGAAATACAGGTAACAGTTTTAATATACTGTATTATTTTTCTTTCTCTTCCTCCCCTTTAGACTCTCACCTGTTTGTTAATTCACAGAGTTTAATTTCAGAGTAGTATCCAGCATTAAGAGTAAGAAAACAAAAATACAGCAAAATTTTGTTCTGTAAGTTAAAAACTCAGTGAGGACTGTCTAATGATACAAAGTAATATGAGGTTTATAAATTTTTTGAAGGCCAAAGAAAAATGCCAGAACTGAGATAATCCTTAATGGGATTACTGTTTCTTTCTATATAAGACAGTGCAAATGTACCTCTTGGGTTGTGCGTTTTAGACACGTCTGTGCAGGTGTTCTACGATCATCAAGGAATAAGGGGTTTTTCCATCGGTCATAGTTTGTTTGTACCACATACCATCTACCCTGTTTAGGATCAAGTCTAGGTACAAAAAGAAAGATTCCTTCTTAGGCTTCATGCCTTAAACCTATATGTATGTCAGTCTGGGCTTTAGTTTCTACTTTGTTTTAAAAATGTACTTACTCATATATATCCAAAGAGTCCTTTCTTTCTCGTGTAATCACACACCCTTCCCCAGACTGGTTACCTCCCAGAATAAAGTATGCTGGGGCCAATAATTTGGTCTTGGCCAGTATATTCTTGGCTTCTTCATAGCTACATAGAAACATTTTTAAAAAAAGAAAAAAATGTTCTTGTTGATGTGGATTGGAAATGTTTTAATACTGTGAAAACTAAGGGAAAATACATGTTTTTAAAAATGAAATGGTGAGCAATGGTTCCCAGAGTAACAACACCCTCCTGACCTGAGATGCTGAAGCACTTGAGACCTGAACTGGTAAATTTAGAGGTGTTCTCTCAGCTGAAGAACATAATCACCTGAAGAGATTATCCTCCAATTTATTCTCTGCTTTTCACTCAACAACAGAAGGGAAAGAATGCTACAAGCACAGTACATGAAACTTAGGGAACAGAAAGTAACCTTCTTGAAAATTTGGGCTTTTAAAAATTGCAGTTCATTATTAAAGAAGACTACTAAATTATTCCTTGGAAAGTATTAGAATCAGGCTCCATACTCATTTATCCTAAGTCATCTGGATGCAGTGTGGCTGAAGGAAAAGCAGTTCTGCTCTTAGATTTCTGCACCACAGCAAAGGTGACTTCTAGGGTAATATCTGCCATTTCAATAAAGATTTCACTGTACTATTTTGTGTGGGGGTGATTCATTTTTTGTATGCCAAATGATTCATAGATGTTCTTCATAGCATCAATATCTCCTCAGTATTTTTAATAATTCATTTCCTTGTATAAGAACATACAAAATATGAGTAATTACTGGGCATGGTAGTACATGCCTATAAATCAGCACTCAGTAGGCTGAGACAAGAATAGTATCACTGCAAGTTCAAGGCCACCCTGGGCTACATGGTGAGTTCAAGGGCAGTCTGAAATATATAGCAAGACCCTGTCTCAAAAACAAACACCACTCCCCAAACCAAAACAAAAAACATGAATAATTCCATATAAGTGTCAAAGTTTCACCTAAAAAGTTTTGCAGTTTTTCCTCAGTTGATGTTAACTGGGGCTTGGGAAATATGCTTGTTTTTAATATAAGTAACATAAACTAAATATCTAATAATGAACCAATCATTTCACCTTGTAGCATTTTCCAGAACTGATCTAGTGATAAACCCTATCCATGAGGCATCTTTCTTTCCCAAAATCCATTCTAGGAGACCTGGAAAAGAGGAAACACACATAGCACCACCAGATCCGGAAGAAGTTAGGCTACTCAATCAGAAAGTATAGTTTAATCCTCTTAAAATGGCTGTGAAATTCCCATTAAACTTCCAGACACTACTTACCCAGATAACCACCATTCATGCTGAAACGTTCGTTTAGTGTAAGACTAAACTGTCCCTTAAAAAAAAATCACTGAGGTTAGACACTTCAACTATCTTTCGAAGGCCCTATCTCTATATTAAAGTGGTATATAAAGGCCTTGTATTGGCAACACCGAGAAGTAAAAAAACATGACATTATCACCATATACAGGGATCGAACTCTGGTCCTTGTGCTTGCACAGCAGGCAGCGAAACCACTGAGCTAAATCCCCGGCCCAAAATCAGGGTTGTTTCTTTTTTCGGTACTGGGGATCGTACTTGGGACCTTATGCTTGCGAAGCAGGTGGTGGAACCACTGAGCTAAATCCCGTGCCCTTTTTTTTTTTTTAACTGGGTCTTGCTATGCAGTTTGGGCTGGCCTCAGACTCACAGCAATCCTCATGCCTCAGCCTCCTGAGTCCTGGGACTACAGGCATGCGCCATGATGCCTGGCAATCACTTTATATTAACAAGGCTTTTTTAAAATTCAAAGCATTTTCACATCTAGTATATGAGATAAAGTTAGGCAGGAAATTATTAGCCACACTTTTTGGACAGGAAATGGAAGAGCAAGGAATTCATGCCTGATAAGTCTGAGTGAGCAGCAGACCCAGGCCAGATCTCAGGTTTGGCTCCTAGTCCTGAAACCTGAAGCCACATGCTTTTTATCCTAAAACTGTCTCAGAAATCATTCCCTTTTTATTCTTTTCTACCATGTGATCTCATGGCAATGAAAATGACAAGTAAAAGGGGATGGAAGCAGGGTTTCATGTTCCTTTGCGGTCCTCATTTTCTTAGACTTCACCCTTCACAGATAGTGAAACCAGGACACAACTCTACCTGTAAAATCATGTAACAATAGGTTCCTTACTGGTTTGAATCCTGTTAACATGCCCACATAGCCAGCAAAGCTTGTAGCCTTGAAGACAGTTTTACTGTTTCTTTGGAAGTCCAAATTCACTGTTAAAGGTTTTAGTTCCTCAGTTATGACCCAGGTGTTATTATTTATGTTCCACCTACAAGAGACAAGTTTTGGTGATATTCAAGAACAGTGATGAAAATAATGATGAATATAAGAGCCAGGCATTATACTAGGTGCTTTACCTAACTAATCACTGATCAAGCCTAACAAGACCTTTTTAATAAGGGTGGGTGGTTTTATTTCCTTCACCTGATAATGAAACTGAGGCTCAGATTTGAAGTGGAGTAACTCCTAATGTACAGATTATATAATTAACAAGCCTCACGTTTAAATTTAGGTCCAATCACGAAACCATTACTTTTTCAGAAAGGTCAAGATGACAGATACAAAACAATGTTCCTCTTCCTTCTAAGCAACAAATGAAACGTGCATTTCTGCTTGAGAGGTGCAACGTCTCATATAACCTCCCAGATAGCTGAGTAGGTATACTGTCTTAACACTAAGGAATTCAGGTATCTTCACTGACTCTCATATTTTGGGCATGACTTGGGACTTTTCATCAAGGTAATACAGTCTGATTTTCTTAAGGAATGATAGATACTATGTTCCTTGCTTACCCAAGAAATATTCCAAAATCCATGTTTCTAACATGTAGTAGATGACCTATTAGAAAGTAAGCAGAAGATACATGCTGTAGAAGTTAAGATAGTACGTCTGGTTCAGAACACAGCTGCATGCTTTACTTTTGTTAATTTATAATCACAACTATATTTCACAACAAAAGATAAGGATTAAGAAGCAGCCTGATAGCATAATCCTTATTAAGATAATACTTGTATTACTGTCACATTGGCAAGATACCTACTACAAAATCTGACAGTACTGTATAGGGCTCTAGGTAAGATGAGAATATAGGGAAAAGATGAATGATCATTCTTTGGTCAACTATAACACAGTTCTACCAGGACATAGCTATCTTAGCCCTAACTAATGTGACTTACCCAAGGCACTTCAAGAGTTAGGTGTAGGCAGATTTTGTGCCCAGAATATAGGTCAAAAGACAGAGTGAATCAGGGCAAATTGTTTTGTGCTTTGTACTATGGGGACCACCATGAAAAATATGGGAAAGTGAGGCTGCTACACTTAGGCTCTCTTGGCTGGGAAATGATGGGAAAATGTTTCTCCTGGACCTCCAGAACAATTAGTCATGTATGAAGATAATGAAGTAACTCCTGTGAAGACTTCTATCACATCATACAGATGTGTGTAAGGAAACTATAGGGAAAGTGGGAATATTTTAAATCTTGAAACACTTCTGCCATTTTTCTTTTTTTACATGCCTGAATTAAACTTTAGTGGGCATTATAGTGGTCTTCGGGTAAGGATAGTTTTACTCTGAGAGGCTGAGGTAGGAAGATCCCAACTTCCATTCCAGGCTGAACAATGTAGCAACTTAGCAAGACACTGTCTTAAAGAATAAAAGAGGCCCAGAAGGCACTTGATTCAATCCCTAGCACCAAAAGTAATAATAACAATAATAAATATAAGTAAATAAAAATAAAGTAAGGCTAATTTTCAAAGCACTTAGAAAAATTTAAGATATATAAAGCTGTATGCAACATACATCGAATTTACACAGTGAGCCTGGATTTTAAAAGTTCTAATGCCTTTTTTTTTTGGTACCGGAGATCGAACTCAGGACCTTGCATTTGTAAGGCAGGCAAGGCAGGCACAGTACCACTGAGCTAAATCCTCAGCCCTCTAATGCCATTTTTAAAGAAGATCTTTCTTTGTCATGATACTCTACTCTGCACTGCCCACCTCCCCTCAGCATACATTTACCTTTCTTGTCTTCAGTTATTATTGAGGTGCACATAGTAAACAATTCATAAAAAATGTTGAATGAAATAATCTCTCCTATAAGAAAAAGACAAGAAAAAATTTTGTTAATACACAGAACCATGACAGTACAAAGGAAGTTGTTTTGGTTTCAGTGGTGTTTTGGATTGAACTCAGATGTGCTACAGTAAGGATACACAGTATACCAAGGGCTACACACCCCTCCCCAAATTTTAAGAAAATAAATCTTCACTGCAGGTGTGTATGTTTTGGTACATAACAGTGCCTCAAGACAATATGAGTGTGCCAGAAAATGTGGCCCATGGCAGTGTCCCTCACCTACCCAAACCCTCTAGACCAAGGACAAAACAAGTCTCCAAAAAGACAGCTATAGTATTTGACAAGCTGGACCTGTATTGTAATATAATGTCCCAAGTTCTCACCAGCATCTTTCAGTGTAGATCTCTGGAGCGCTCACACACTGTAACTTAATATATCTAGCTCTTCTCTGCAGGCTGAAAATGGATTTTGCTCAGATTTTTAAGAGTATGACTAACATTTCTAGGGTGAGAAATTAGAGCTAAGAACTAGTGATAAAATTAGAGCCTCCAAGAAAATCCACTGTAGAATATTTTTTATTTTTGAATATTTTTTCCAAAACTTTAAAATCATTTAGCATTTAATCCAAAGGTATAGAAGCACACATCCTTTAATGTTAACATGTTAAGCTTAACATGTTTTCTGTACCAATCCAATGTTTATTTCCATTTAATGTCTACTCTGATGAAACTTTACTCTTATTATGAATCCTCTATCAATTAATTTTTCTCTAAAAATAATTATATTTGGTAATGACTTCCTAGAATTCTTTTTTTGGGGGGAGGGGTGTACCAGGGATTGAACTCGGGACCTTGTGCTTGCAAGGCAGGCACTGGAACCACTGAGCTAAATCCCCGGCCCCACCTAGAATTCTTTACATAACAAAGGAATTAAAGTCTTGCTTCACATAGAGATTGCAAATTTGTATTTCTAGTACGCTATCTTTTAAACAAAGCAACAAAAAACTAGCCACCTTTGTTGCTAAATATCAAAACTTTAGTGAGCTGTATACTTAAGATCTGTGCACTTTATGTGCACCATACCTCTATATGTTGAAGTGTTTTATTCAATGTTCAACACATTACAAAGTTAACTTTACCTAAAGGTATCTCAGTAACGTCTGCAATTCCTTTCATTTCTTCTTCATAAGGACCAGAAAACTGACCAAGTAGATCAGGCTGAAAACAAATATATTCACAATCATTTAACCTGAAAGCATGCTTTTAGGTATGGTACTCTGACATATTGTGTTTCACATATTGCTACTACAATAGATGATAAATTATTTTTAAAGCATTTTTATTCTCATGTATTTCTAAAAGGTTCTATGTAATAGTATTGGGCACCTACATATAGAAGTATGCTTCTTCAACTGCTTTATCCTGCTTGGTTTTTCTCCTACTCTCCAGAGTGGAATCTGGAATAATTCTACCTACATAATCTCACATAACCCACAATCCAAGAATGTTATAACAAGCACTTTTTTAAAACGTTTTTTCTTTTATTATTTTTTATTTTTTGAGACAGGGTCTCACTGTGTAGTTCAGGCTGGTCCTGAAATCACTATGTAGCCCAGGCTAGCCCTGAACTCACAAAGATCCTCCTGCCTCCTCCGGAGTGCTGGGATCACAGGTGTGCACCACCACACCCAGGTAACAAGCACTTCTTAGCTCTACATCATTCACCCTCTAGCCAAATGCAATAAACCTGCACTATTCTGATTAGTCACAAAACCTTTTGTCATGTAATTGATAAACTTGAGATGGCAATTTAAATTCACAGCCTCTTGCTGAGATAGTGTGCTTAAAGTTCACAAGTTACTGTTTTTCATCAACTGGGTAATGAGATCTAACAAAACATAATTTTCTCTGTATGAATTAGAAGCATGGCAGAAGTGAAATGTTCCAAGTAGTTTAACAAACAAACATGACTTAATTGTAACATTTATCAAACACTTATTATATCCAAGCACAATACTTTACAAAGAGTTTGATATCTAATTCTGATAACCGTCATGAGAAATGTGTATTATTAGTATTATTCTCCTGGATGAAAAAACTGCAGTTTCATAGGTGTGTGACTGATGTGGCCTAAAACCCCTGATAACAAAACACTGCAGTGGTGCCCTCCCTACTGACAACCAGAGTAGAAGGGGAGTTAGGGCACATGTAATATACGGGGATCTATTCTTCTTTTCTTCTGTCAATTTTTATTTTGGGGAAATCTGATAAGTATGCATGTAAAGGAGAACCTTAATCAAAAACTGAGATCCTAAACATGAGATAAAAGGTCTGGTGATTGGCAGATATGAATGTCACAGGGAGGAAGAAACCAGAGCATCTAGCCTCTGGCACAGTGATTCTTGACCTAGAGAGATCTGGCAATGTCTTGTGACATTGTTGGTTGCCACAACCCAGAGAGTATTACCAGCATCCAGTGGGTAGAGACCAGGGATGCTGCTAAACACCCCACACCACACAGGACCGCCCCCACGACAAATAATTGTTTAACCCCAGATGTCATGCCCTAGGACCTTGCAGTCTTTCCCCAGACCTCTGCACCCTGCAGTAAAGCCTGAGGGAAGGTGACAAGATCTCTTTGGAGGTTCTAGGGGCCGGACTATGTGTTCAACTGGTTCCGTCTAAATTAAAAGAGGGCTGAGAGGGCCAGGGATTTAGCGCAGTGGTTCCAGCGCCTGCCTCATAAGCGCAAGGTCCCGAGTTCGATCCCTGGTACCAAAAAAAACCCAAAAAACAAAACGAAAAGAGGGCTGAGAAATGAAATACTTCTGCACAACCAGGAAGAAAATGAGATGGTCTGGCGATTGCACAACTACAAGAAATAATTCAATAGAGTTTCAAGAGTCACAGCTTCTGAGGTACTCTACAGAATACAAGGCTGGGTTGAGTATGTCATTTGGTTATAATCTAGAGAAATCGAGGTGTTCTGAGACTCTTGGGCAAAGTACTTAAGAAAAACAAAACACGTGTTTTAAATCTTTTCTTCTGCCTGCCTGCCAGCCTTCCTTCCTTCCTTCCTGGATGTTGGGGACCAAATCAAGGGTCTCATGCATGCTAAATATGGCACTCTACCACTAAGGTATATACCCAGCAAAAAAAAAAAGTTTTCAACAGTGAACTTAATAACCCTAAGAATAAATTCCATACTTCCAGAAAAAAAATGTATATTGTCCACTGCTCTATAAAATAGTCCATACTTACAAAAAGCATCAATGAACAACTGACAAAATGTGCCATGCTTTGTGATGTGTTACTACTCCAATATTATTAATCCCAGAATTTAAGTCTCTCTGAAGTTTTGAAAGTGATCTAGAATAAATGCAAATATGTCCCAAGTTCCTGACAAGAGGGTGTTTAATTACACCTTTAAATAATCCTGAGGGTTTTTCTGTTTGGTTTTTTCGTTTTGGTAATGGGATGGAACTCAGGATCTTGCACTTGTGAAGCAGGTGTGGCTCCACTGAGCTAAATCCCTGGCCCAATCCTGAGTATTTCTGAACTCTGTGTTATGTGTGTGTGTGTGTGTGCGTGTGCGCGCGCATGTGCTCGCATGCATGCATGAGTGCGTGTCTGTGTATGTGTGTGTGCTTAAAATTCATCACAGGAAATATTTCTTACCAACTTCTGATCCACCATCTGCATAACTTTTCCACTTGGCACAAATGTATTTACCATATTCTTAAAGGAATTCACTATAATCTTTAGCTGAAAAAAATTAATAAAACACTTAAATAATGTAAAGTAATGTCAAATAATATTTAAGATTAATATTGGTATAATGAAAACAGATATAGACCTTTTGACTTACCCATATATAGCTAAATCAGAGAGTGCTATTATTAACAATTTTATCTTTAATGGCATTTGCTTAATTATGCAAATAAAGGGAGATGATATAAAGGGAAATAAACAGTTGAAGTCTGTCAAAGAACATGAAGCTACAAAACATCTTTTCATCTATTTACTGTACATGTCAGAAAAGTATCAAAAGCACACTTTTAAACTTTTTAATGGTAATTTCATAAAGTGTTTTTTAAAAATGCAGTTATATTCAGTAAAGTCAGAAAGAGAAGACTGAAGAATTGTAGCATACCTACCATTGGTCCCTTGTCAACCATTAATTCATGCCATCTTTTGTAGGGTGGTAAATCAAGATTTATGGTGTACCATGGAACTGGTCCTCTATACCTGTAATGAGAGATATACTACCTTGAAACACTGAAAGTAGCTTTCTGAGGGTGCTAGACACCTACATCTATATAAGGATATTCTAGACACATATGCTTAATAACAGTATACAGGTTGTTACACAAACACAATTTGTAAAGAATGCCCAGTTTCCATCTAGTGCTTCTGCCCTCTGTTGCACATACAATTCTAAGTAGTCTTAGAAATCTTAGAATAGAATTATACATTCTATAACACTGATGTGACTTGGTGATATGTGAAAGAATCAACTGTGGCTCAAGAGCCTAAATATCACTAGTGGAAAACACCTGCCCTTTTCCTTTCCCCTTTCTAAATATCTGCAAAGATTTAATCTAAGCCTACACACTTCTCCAGTTGGTTCTGGAGCCTCAGAATTCTCTCTCAAGCAGTCTAACACTATTGCTAACTCACTGTGGTTTCAGTAAGGTCCCCTCTTAAGCCTCAGAATAGCAACAAACATTAACTTCCTGTGACTGGCTTCAAGAACCTCCACGATTCTCTTATCCAAACAATATTTTCTAGGATATACTTCTCTTCTCATTCCTCTGTAATAAGTCCAAGCCCAAGCACTATCATATCCAGTCTCCAACTTCCTACTCTAACTTACAGCAATTTCTAGGAAGATATATCAACGTTCACTCCATTATAAATGGAGATGGGCTATATTTCTAAGTGGATGAACACTATAAACATCTCTGTTACCATAAGAACATCATTTTCTGGCCTTTTTTGCCAAGCTTGAATAGCTATTAAGGGTGTGTCACTCAGTGACTTTATCAGCTTAAGCTATGTGTAAAAACAGAAGTCATTTAATCCACTACTTCGGTGCTCCAGGAAAAAGTACAGTGCAGTCTGGTGTGTGCTGCTCTTGAAATGTTTAGCAGGATCTTAAAACATTGCCTAGATTTATATCTATGTAAGGGAGTGGATTATTTTCTAAAAGTTCTTAATGCTTCTATATATACATCTTCTGTCATAAATATTTGGTTCTCTTAAGTAATACTGCTCAGCTTGGGCCCAGATGTATGTAAAAATTTTATGAAACTATTAACCAGCAGCCTTTACGTTGTGATTTAGATAGAAAAGCATACTCAGTTTTACAAACACACACCTAAATAAAACCACAATGAATGAATTTTGTTCTTCTCAAAGCATTTTCAAGTTTTCTAGTTCCTTAGGAACTGGTATCTCCTTAAAAAATTGCAAAATATTATAATAACTAACTCAGAGAAATTAGGTTTTCATCACAACACATTAATTCCATTTCTGAATGACTATGATTTCATATGCAAAACTTTGTCCCACAGTTCAGTAACCTGTTACACTTATTATGGGCAGACACTACCAACCTACCCATCTTCACAAGCTTGCATTTGAATTTTCGTATCTAATGGCATGGTAAACAAGTGGCCATATTGGAGCTGTGTACATTGGTTGCACTATCATAAGATACGTATTCTACATATGAACTCCAATCAACTGCTCCTTTCCTCGTAACACTCAAAAAACGAAATCATCCTCCTCTATCTGCCATAAATTCTTGATTCTTTTTTGATCTGAAGTTTTGGGTAGGCTCAACGATTTCAGAAAGGAAATGGAGAGGAAATGAACTCACTACAATAGAGGTTTATAGTTTTGTGGGCATAGAGAGACTTCAGAAACCTTTATAATAAAACCTCCACTAATCAGAATGTTTTAAAAACTGGCTAATACGATTAACAAAATTATTTTAATAACTAAAGTTTAACATAATCCCACATTTTGGTTCTCATTAAATGTTTTTTAAATATCTCAGTATTTAACACCTGCACTTTGATTTCCTACAGAAAGAGTATCTATCTTGTGAGGACAGTGAGGATTACATAAATATAATCAATCAATAGTAGTTACCATAATATGTTTTCCTACTTATTGCAAACAATCATTATCACTCAATCATTTTGAGACAGCATTTGCTGTGTCCAGGTCATCATAATATCAATCATATGCTCGAACCTGCATGGCTCCCCAGGTGGCATGGAATCTAGTTCAAGCAACACAATGTACACATGTGCAAACAGAAGACCAGAGAATGAGCACCCAGGGAACAGCAGAAAAGAAATGCTCAGTAGATTCAGTGGGATACAAGGGTGATGAGACCATGGTTCCTAGATCTCTGCACCAATGTGACTGGTCAGGCTGGGCGAACAGGAATCTCCTTCCTCCCTCACAGATGCCCATGCATACCACAAAAATCTACGCACTTGGCTGTAAAGGATGACCTACAGGAACATGAGGGCTGTCATTCAAATGCACACGCATGCCATATTTCTCTCCCAGATCTCAAGATCCATTTATAGTTCAGAGAAGAAAAGGATTACAGCAGACCCAAGGATTTTGGTGTATGAAACCAAGCCAGTCAGGTAGGAAGAAATCTGGCAGAAATTCTAAGGCAAGGAGAGAAACATACATGTACATTACGTACATGTTTAAATGTTTGTGAGTTTAGGTATGCATGTATGTGTACATGTATATACATACAGACACACACACAGAGCAATGTGGAACCAATTAAGTTCCCATTCAGGGAAAGTTTATAGTTTGGTCAGCAATCAATTCACAGATATATGTAAAGTATACACAAAGGGGAGCAGAAAAAAGCCCTTAAATGTGGAATGTATTCATTAAAAGTTCAATGAATTGAGACAGTGAGACCAGCCAAGAGAAGTGATCACTAAGGCAGTGAAGGCCAGCATGGTGCCAGTAGTGACAGAAAAGAATTTCTGAGAGCAGGTCACTGATGAGGAAGATGGAAGGTCCACTTGAGAATAACATCGAAAATGGTTACCTCTAAATATCTGCATGAGACAAGGTAAGTAAATCAAAAGAATTCAAGTTCTTACAGTTTTGCTCAACCAACAGCAATTGTTACTCAATTAGTACTAATTACCATAGAATATTTTCCTACTTCACTAACAACAATTAGCATCACTTAGTCCTTTTTGTTTGTTTGTTTTTGAGAGGGGGTACAGGGGATCACACTCAGGACCTTGCCAGACAGGTGCGGTGTCACTGAACTACATCCCTGGCCCCACTTAGTCCTTTTTGAGACTTAGCATTATCTATGTACAGGCCATCATAATACCAGTTATATTGCCTGAACCACATGACTCTCCAGGTGACTTGGAAATTAGTCCAAATGGCACAAGACACATGTACAGACAAGAGAGCAGAGGCCAAGCACCCAGTGAGCAACAGAAAATAAATATTCCAGTGGAATTCAGATGGATATAGGTGGCGTGACTATCATTTCTGGAACTCCAGTATTCCAGCGTCCCAAGGATACTGGGACAGAGGCTACTTAAGACTACATAATTTAGAAATGAGCAGTATGATATATAATTTGGATTGTTACAAAAAGTGAAGATGTCATCGTGATATACTGGTTAAAGTTTTACTTTGCCTCCTTGCTTCCTTCAGCAGTCTGTTTTCAACAATGGGGAAGAACTTGAAAAGAAAAAGACGACCATTCCCTAAACTTTTCCTTCCTTTCTACATTCTGTACCCTCTGGACCTGTGAACTTTGTCTTTTCCCATTAGCCCATTTCACTGTTAGGATTTGGAAAGACCAAAATTTAGACTAAAATGTTAGGTACACTGAAGCATGATATTTCCCTTTTTCTTATGTTTTCCAATACCGTTTTATCTTTTTTTTTGGTACTGGGGATTGAACTTGGGTTCTTGTGCTTGCGAGGCAGATGGCAGAACCACTGAGCTAAATCCCCGCCCCCTGTTTTATCTTTGGTAGCTTTATCAAACCAAGGTTTATTCCTTAAATGTCACAAATATGAGGTCTAACGCTTTCTGATGTAATATAAGTTGGTGGCTTATACCCAGGCACCACAGAGCATCACAGCTCAGCTGGGATACAGGCCTTTCATTTGTTACAGGTAAGACAAATGTAGATAGAAATGTTAGTGAAGAATAGAAATCCTTTTCTGTCCTATGACTCTGACAGGCCAGAAATGGACATTTTAATCATAGACTGTTTTCCATATTTGTCCAAGATCTTAACCAAATGCATAAGACACAAACCTAAGTAAACCCAACTTTGTCTCAGGGTAGGAGACATGACAAATTTAATTCACTGTCATTATTTCTATGAGAACGTTACTTTGACACACAGATCAAAGTAAGTTTTAATCATCTAATGTTTACTCACGTTGGTCCAGAAGGAGGATAAGTTGATTTTCTACAGTCTTCTGTCCACTAAAAAAAAAAAGAAAAGTTTCAGAAAATTACAAATGCTTGCTAACTGAATAGGTAATCTACAATAATAATTACCAGGGCCAGGGATTTAGCTCAGTGTCTGCCTCACAAGTGCAAGGTCCTGAGTTCAATCCCTGGTACCAGAAAAAAAAACAATCTACCGTTTACAAAGACAAAAATCATCCTTTTAGACCATTTAAGTACTTCTTGAAAGCCTCTCTTTGAGAAAACTTCTAATATTCCAAACTGTTAAAATCACAATGCAATAGGCACAAGTGTCAGGTATTATATTTTGGCTCTTATATTACAAATATACTGAGTAAACAAGAAAAGTCTAGCGGTATATGAAAATGTGTCTATTAGATAAGCTCACTTATCACCTATGTAAATGACTGGAAGCCAACTCTCTTGGACTTGGCCAGAGATTTGTGTCTCAAATCAGATTTTCAGGGCATACTGCATGAGGGCCTTCACAATCTGGCTATAGTTTATCATCCCAGCCTCATTCTCCTGACACTTGTCCTAAAGCAGACACCTCCGGTGAACTCTCACCTTTTCATCCCCATGCACATGCTGTGCCTTCTGCCCTAACCTGATGAATGTCTGATTCTAACGTCTAAGATCTGCTTCACATCCTTCCATTTTTGTGAAGTCTTCATCCTCCCCCAATATGAAAATAGTTCTCCTCTCCTCTATACTCCCACAGCCTTTGTACACATCTCTATTAGAACCATTTTTATGGCAGTGCATTACCACTGTTTGTGTGTCTCTTTACTAACATATTCTGCTCCTAGATGTGAGTGCAGCCCCAACACTGAGGTCACTATTGCAGACAATAAATAAATAAAACTGTTTTAGGACATTGTTGCTGCTCAGTACCAAAATTGAATTTTCTCCTAACATAAAATTATCAAGAATCCATATATGATTCTTTTATTACTGGTTCAAGATGGCAAGTATGTTTTTTTCTTTTCCTTTAGAGACTCAATACTGTAAAAGTAATTTTTTTTCTGGTACTGGGGATTGAACCCAGGAAACACTGAGCTACATCCTCAGTTCTTTTCATTTTTAATTTTGAGACAGGGTCTCACTAAATAAACAGTCTGGACTGGTTTAGAACTTGTGATCTTTCTGCCTCAACTTCCCATAGTAGCTGGGATTATCACACCCAGCAAAATAATTGTTTTTAAAAGTATAAATCTAGCTAGGTGTGGTGGTATACACCTGTAATACCAGTACTCACTCTGGGAGTCTGAAGTAGGAGGTTCACAAATCCAAGCCCAGCTTGAGCAATTTAGTGACTTAGACCTTGTCTCAAAGATTACAACAAAAGGGCTGGTGATGTAGCTCAGTGTGAAGATCCTGGGTTCAATCCTCAGTACCTACCCAGCCCCACAAGTATAAATCTGCAATAGGAGGGAGAGTAGAGAAGGAAACTATTGGAATTATAGATTGAGCTAAAAAAATGTATCTGGTGTACATTTGTGCAGTAATGGAAACCAAAGATATCGGTTTAATTCTTGATACCATGGGGAGTATATAAAGAAATATGACATTCCCATAATTTAAACATTAACTGCTGTCAAAATGATCTTACCATAGTATAAGTAAATTTCTCAAATAAGTAGAAGTTGTCTTGTAATTTTGAGTTAAATTAATTAAGAAATAGTATCAGGTCTGTAGCAAAAACTGATTTCTAAAGCCATTCATGGCTGAGGGACATTCTCTTTAGAATTACAGAAAAATAAACATAATCAGAGAACACTGAACAATGACCAATATTTACAATTTAATGCTGCTTATTGTTTTCATTTTTGTAAGGGAACATTTATACAAAACATGAAAAACTAAGTTACAGTTAAATTATCAAAACGAACTAAGCAAAGTAAAAGCATCTAGAACTGAAGGAGAGGGAAAAACGGCAAAGGGGATAATGATGCCTGGATATTCTAGGTATGACAATTAGACAAGACAATGAAATAAAAGGCACATAAGTGGAACAAAAGTAATACACAGCACTGTCTGTAGAAAACCCTTAAGAATTTAATACAATGTATTAGATCTAATAAATACAAAACTTCAGGATAAAAGCTCAATGTTCAAAAACCAACTGGATTTCTACTCAGTGGCAATGAACAATCTGAAAATGAAATTAAGAAAACAATTCCAGTCCGGGGATTTCGCTCAGTGGTTCCATCGCCTCCCTTGCAAGCGCAAGGTCCCGAGTTCGATCTCTGGTACCAAAAAAAAAACAAAAAAAAAAGGAAACAATTCCACTTACAATAGCATCAAAAGGAATAAAATACTCATAAGTAATTCAATCAAAAAAGTGCAAGACCTGTACACCTAAAACTGTGAAACACTGTACAAAGAAATTAAAGACTTAAATTGAAAGCTATCCATGTTTATGAGTTGGATGAGTCAGTACTGTCAAAATGGCAATATTTTTCAAATTATGCTACAGATTTTCAACACTATTCCCATGAAAACCCCTGCCAGTTTCATTGCAGAGATAGGTCAGCTAGATATAAAGTTTATATGGAAATTCAACAGGCCCAGAATAGACAAAACAATCTTAAAAAAAGAAGAACAAAGTTGGAAAATCCCCCATGCACAGCTAAAGACTACAAGGAACTGAGCAAAAGAGAAAAAAGAAAATGCTGTGAGACAGTGGGAGACAGGGAAGAGAACTGGTGGGGAGAGCAAGCTAAGCAACAGAGAGACCTGTAAGACTCAGAACATAGTTGCTCCCACAATGACTGCACCAGAAATAGAAAAGAGCCAACCTAATAGTCCAAGAAATTAATTTTGGTAGCTGCCTGAATACATATTAAATTTTGCAAAGCCATCTTTGCCTCTGTAAATGAATAGGATTTGAACTAAGTACAGAACCAAGTTGTTTTGCTCTGGATAAAAAGCGAGTGATGTCAGAAATTGCATTATCAGTTTAATTTGGTGTACATCTGGTGAACATTAACACACTTAAAGCAAATCAAAAGTCATGAGAAAATCACTAGGATAATCCAACACCTCAAGATCAGAAGTCTTGATCACACTGTGTCAACAATAAACTATGCTAATTTTAATTTAGAATATTATACTTTTTGGAAAATTCTTCTGAAAAAGACCAGCATTTAATGAAACAATAGTTTGATTATGAAAAAAAAAGAACAAAGTTGGAGGACTCATGTTTCAGTTTTAAAACTTATAATACTAGGTACAGTAGCTCTTTATTACAGTAAGACTTACTGAAATAAGTAATGCTGTACTTAAGAAAAACAAGTATAGGAAAATTTATCATAAATCACAGTAAGTCTTTACCACATTAGTAAAGTATGTACAATGGAATAGAACTGAGAGTTTACAAAGAATGCTACATTTACAGCCAGCTGCATATTGTGAACCAATATAAGATTTAGAGGGCTGAGGATTTAGCTCAGTGGTTCCACCGCCTGCCTCTCAAGCACAAGGTCCTAAGTTCGATCCCTGGTACCAAAAAAAAGAAAAAAAATTTGAATACATAAAATCTTACAACTCTGTAATACAAAGATAAGTAACCAATTAAAAATGGGTAGCAAAGGATCTGAGTAGTGTACCTTCTCCAAAGAAGACATATGAAAACTATAATGAGATACTAGTTTATAGGATGGTTATAATAAAAGAGATACAACAACAAGTGTTGGTGAGAATGTGAAGAAACTGGATCACTCAGATATGGCTAGCTGCTATACAAAAATAGTCTGACCTTTCTTCCAAGACGTAAATAGAGTTACCATATAAACCAGCAATTTTGCCCCAAGGTATATTCCCAAGAGATGAGAAAATACCCACATAAAAACTTGTATAAAATGTTCATAGCAGCATTGTTCACCATGCTCAAATGTGTTGACAATTCAAATGTCCACTAAGTGCTGAATGGATAAACAAAATGAGGTATATGGATATAATGGAATATTATTTGGCAATACAAAGAAATGAAGTACAGATATATGCTACAAGAAGAATGGACCTTAAAACTATTATAATAGGGGCTGGGGATTTAGCTCAGTGGTTCCAGCACCTGCCGCACAAGCGCATGATCCCAAGTTTGAACCCCAGTACCAAAAAAACAAAATAAACAAACAAAAAACCCTATTATAATAGCTAAAAGACACCAATCACAAAGAACCATACATTTTACTGTCTCCTGTATATGAAATGTGCAGAACAGGCAAATCTATATTGATAGAAAATGTATTAGTAGCTGCCTAAGGGCTGGGTGGGTTGAAAATTGACGGATGGGGGGTTTTTTTTCTGGAGGTGCTGAAAAATGTCTTAAAATTGATTGGAATGATGGTTGCACAACTCTATAAATAAACTGAAGCCATTTAATTGTATAATTTTAATGCTAAATTATATGGTATGTGAAATATCTCAATAAAGCTATTACAATAAAAGAGGGAATGATGTTTAAAGTATGCTAAATTTTTATCCATCACTGCAGTATGAGATAATGCCGAGAGATTAATTCATTTGGACAAATATAGCACAAACATACCACCAACATTTATAAACATAAATAAAGATGAAGGTAATTTTTACTACCCAATATGGCAGGGCACCACACAATGAAAGAAACAGCTATAAACAACTAACATAGCAACAGATGTGGGTTCAGGAATAAATATGGCCCTTGAGTAGATAATTACCTGATCAACTAAAAGTAAAAACAGGTAAAAGTGGTTGTGTCTAGAGAAAGGGAGTTAGGGCAGAAAGAATGAGGCTGGAGAATCTTACTTTTCATAAGTCTATCCATATCAGATTTTCTTCAGTCATCTACACTGTAATACAAATTTTTAAATTTTGATTTTTAAAACTGCATGATTATTTATATCATGTGATGAATTTTGAGAATGATTCTTTGTCATCATTTTTAAATTTCTGAAACTATTACTACCTAAAATTATTTTAAAATAATAGCAGCTACTATAATGGAGGGCATGATACTCTCAACTCATAAG